CTATAGAAACCCAATTAATATATTAGCTTATGTCCCACGGGATCATTTCGGTTTCATCAGTTTCTCTTTATTCCGCACCGGACTCACAAACACGTGCAATAACACTGTGCAGGCTCACGTCGACCGCCCAAAGTTGCCGCCCCAATCCCTATTACGCTGCCAACAAATTGCAGTTTTTATTGCTTCATCTTGTATCTTTACCTTCGGTTCTACCTTTCCGTCTGTCCCAAAGCGACTCGAATTACACCCTCGCCGTAATTTACACACCCTACTTTCTTTATGGTACCGTATAAGTTTGTGAAACTTGAATTGCTCGGATTATCCGGTTTTCCACTTGCCAGTATTTCCAGTTCAGGGTTGAGAGTGGCTGAATAATTGAGCAATTCGTTTTGAATAAATGATTATGTAAATGCTCTCCTGAAGTGACAACTCCAAACTTGTCTTTGTTTGTTTCATCACCTCAGCATTCCATTCCATATGGAATTTTTATGTTGTTACTGACAAACTCAATCATCTTATTTCATCAGTTCGGACTTTCATTGTCTAACAACAACAAAATAAAAAATTTAATTATTAATGAAAGCTGAGAATCAGAATATTATCAACGAAAAATGAAAAATTGAAATTGAAAGATTTCAAACCAAGATACGTCACGACGTTTCGATTGTCAGTATCCACAATCGTCTTCGGGTGATAACTGGACTTATTCCTCCGAGATCTGACTATTTATAGGTCATTCGAATGTTTTCACCTATCCCCTATTCCCTCTCTCCACTTCATTGGTTTTAGCAAAAGATGACCATTTGGCGGGAGTTGGTCATTTTTCGCCTGATTAGAGGTTTCCATATATTACGTATCTCTACGCTGGCTTGACTGAATGCGTTGTTGGAAAACATATACGCGGCTTCTTTGAATTTTCTCCTAAACCCACTTGATAGTATGTTGATGAGTCCAAACATGCTCTGCTTTTCCGGATTTGCTAGGTTCTCCTCGATGTGTGTGTTTCTTCTGCTCCAGAATGCGAACTTTCAATGGCCTCTTAATTTCACCAATGTATGATTCTCCGCACTCGCAGGGTATCCGTTGAATGCAATTCTTGGAATCGCAGTCCGCGTTTGCTGGCCTGGTTTTCGTGAGGCTGCTACGGATAGTGTTCCCAGATCTGAAGCAGGTCCTGATGTTATACTTGGACCCAATCTTTTCTTTTGTTTTCGATAATCCTCTGATGTAGGGAAGTACAAGTACTGGTTGTGACGGCTTCTCATCCTTGTGGAGCTCTTGCTGTCTTCTAGCTAAAGCCTCTTCTATCATCGCTCTGGAGTAACCATTCCGTTGAATGTCATTTTTGATGATGCCTAGTTTCTTTTCGAGACCTTCCTTTGTATTACAGAGTCCGAAAGCAAGGTCTAGTAGAGTCTTGATGATTCCTCTCTTAGTCGATTGATGGTGGTTGGATTTCTGGTTCAGATTCTGTCCCATGTGAGTAGGTTTTCGATATACAGATGTTTCCATTTACTGTCGGTCCTCTTCACCAATACATCTGAGAAAGGCAATTCGTTGTGGACTTCCTTCTCCATTGTGGAAGTGATGGATATCATATTAGACAATGGAAGCCCGAACTGATGAAATACATCACGAAACATTGTCAACCACCTTCAATCAATCATCTTAGTGTTGTCTTATGAACACAACAAGATGACCGATATCAATAGTTAGAGTTCGGAAATCCCTGTTGGAATACCCTATTGTATCATTAACACGCGTTGAATGTTTTTCTAGCCTCTCTCTATTGATATCTCTTTCGATAATATTTTTTGGAAAAACAGATGACATATTCCATATTCCATAACATTTAACATATTAGTTGTTGCCCGCGACTACGCCTGCGTAGAATTTGGTAGGTGTGTTACTAATTGGTACTATGTTGTTGTATGACTGCTGTTCCAGTGTTTTGACACAATCAGAATCAACGAACTCAGGCGTGCGCAGCGTTATAGAACAGTGCTTTCGAAAAATTGTTCTACAGCGCCATCTAGTGGCGAGTCACAGAAAAATGATAGCCTAAAAACCTTCTCTATGAAAAATTAGTCATGCATGTCAAGTTTCATCACGATCGGTTGAGCGATGCAGAAGTTTATCACTCACCAACCAACCAACCAACCAACAAACATCCATTTTTATATATTAGATAACAGAAACAAGCTCAATTCTTTCAAAACGTCAACAATAAAATTGATTTTGATGAATTTGTAATCTCAGTTGTATTCGGCCAAACAAGAGCTTTCGACGGTATTGATGTTTCTTTAATAAAAAAATTTAGAGAGCCTAGAAATTCACGATCCAATCCGCGACTGAATTGTGTCTTTCCTGAAATGTGGAAAACTCATTATCAGGGTTGAAGACATCATTTCGAAGTAATTTGAAACAAATATTGTCTTTTTTTGGGTATATAACCTTCCACACTTCAGCAGACCCTCCATTTATTCAGCTCTGTTTGATTGTTTGATTTTGGAAAGTTGTAAACCTAAAAAACTGTAAGAAGTATTGAATCCCCCACAAAAAAATGGCCTTCGGAGAGTAAATATTGGTACATTTCGGAAAAGTACTCTTGGATCATTGAATTTACCAATTTTTATAAGAGACAATTTCGTTTACATTTTCAAGTGGACATTAGAATCAATGCACTAAAAAATTTGACACAAATCAGATAAAACTCATTGAGAAACGGTAAAAATAATTGATCAATAAGCATCCCTAGTAGATGAAAATATGATCACCACTGAGATTCATCAGAAATATGTACACCTCTAAGCCATTTCTGGTGAATCAACATCATCATTATCACATTGTTATCTCTGTTCATGTATTTGAGTACACTTTTTTTTTCATACCATTATTTAATTTGATAAAGTCAATTTTTCTAACCAGCTAGTACAAAAAACTTAAACATTCTGAATTCTCTAAAGCAATATCTTACTACTAAATTTGGAGGGTATCTTTTTAGGAGAGATTGAAACCACTAAATTTATATTTCATTTTATAATTATCACATCTAACTCCTAAGTGCAATTTTATCCAAATCTGATGTTCCAGTAACATTTTTTAAAATAACTCATCAATATATAGAATAAAAAAACCGGGGTTGAAAATAAACTATAAAATTGCCAACATTCAATCAATAGAGGAAATAAACATTTTTCCAATGATGGGTAGTATATCAGGAAATATTTATCGTATGTGTTCAATTTATTCCAAATTCTGCTGATCCACATTGCTGCATTTTGCTGTTTCATTTATAAATTTATGGCTTTGAATAAATCGATACAGTGAAATATGTTATTGGTATACTGATACTGCTGGATAATTGTTTGTTCCGACTACATTAAATGAATTAAATATATCTGGACTACTTCATATGCAAATTATACAGTGTCACCATTAAAGTGCGCACCATATGGGAAACTTTTTTTTCGAAAAGTTTCAATGAAGTTTAACTTCGGCACTTGTGAATGAATATAAATAAGGAAAAAAACAGGACACCAAGGATGGATCCTTGGGGTACACCACAAGTTATATTTTGGAGAGACCTTTTTTAATTACCTTAATGAACATATTGTCTTCTATCATACAGATAATTTTGAAACCATTCAAGAAGATTACAACAATATACTATGGTCAATTGAATCAAAAGCTTTGCACATATCGAAGGACAAGAGACAACATTCCTTATTTTTCTCAATTTCCATTTCTTGAGAAATATTTGGTTGGTCTCGAATTTATATCCAAAGACAATATTCTCAATCATATTTCGATATATAAATGACTTTTAGGAAGATTTATCAAGAGAACAGCAAGAGGTTCTGACTACAACGAAATAAACGATTCTCTAGGAGCTGCTTTCAGATCTTCAGCGGCTTCACCCAAAGCAAACGGATCTTTATTTTTTACCACCTTACCTAATGATATGGACAAAATACTATATTTAGCACCCAGTCCGTTTGTAACCAGCTTCGGTATGAATGTTATTTTGTTCAGATGAATTGATTACGTGAAGTTCAGGAGTAAAAAAGAATGTTTTTCGTATTTCTACTGCTCCATCATCAAACAAAAAATGTGGAAACTTTCATGAACTACAATAAAAACTGTATATAAAATATGTAGAGCATACGAAGACGTTTCTTTCAGATATAAACGGAAAGGAAGCTATCTTTCGAATCAAGTACTTTTATATGAACATTGACTCATACGAAAGTAACCTTTTTCCATTTATTATGTACCACAAACATTGGTTATGGAACCGAAACAGATGACGCTCATAGAAACGCTACTCAACATGGAATATAAAAAAGTATTTATACAAAATATGAATTCTCATTCCCTCATCAGCACCCTTTAGATATCACTACATATTACATATTATTATTAAATTCACATATTTTCATAAAGTGGTTATTTTCTTTCTTCTCTTCTTTTAAAGTACCAAACAGTTTTGTTGAATGACGCAGAAAGCCAAGCAAAAAGCCAAAATACTTTTATTTCTCAAAAATCTTGTCTCTACTGAACATATTCCTGTTTCAATTAAAAAAAGAACGGTTCACAAAGAGTTTAATTTGCAGATTTTTATTCACTAATCCAATGAACGTGATATCTACGTTCCCAATGCAAGCTACAACCCATGTTTATTTCGCTGTGGCATTTCCCTTTCAGTTTGAAAAAATGATCACGTAGTACATCTGCATGTGAGGTCATAATGCTTCCCCGTTCATGAAAACCATTACGAAACCTGAATAATAATCGACCTAGAAGAATTCAATTCCGAAATATATCCGAAGTCCATTCCTTATATTCTAATAGTTAGGTCATTCAGGCTCCTTAAGAAGAAAGGTCAAGAATAAACGTATTTTTCCGGACGATAAAGATCCAATGCAAAATTCACAGTCGTCCACGACCTCTTCTTTGAATAATATAAATGTTCCGGAGACAGGAAAAATAATATATCAGAGTTATTATGGGTATCATGCGGTGTGCGATGTTTTTACTGGCGATTGCCACTATCTCCTGTGCCAGTGTCTTACCAATTTACAGCTCCCAATATTCACATGTTCGTTACCAGGGAGTTACAAAAACTTCACAGCAAAAGGACAAAGGTAAAAATTCTTTTGAGTCCATACAAGTTTTAACTTACATAGATTTGACATCTATGAAAAAACAATAAATTTAATACTATCAACACTATGATGAAACAATTTTTACTGATACGTTGAAATAGTCTACAAGGAATTTTATGCAACATCAAGTTGTAGAGACGAATTATTCAATAAAACGGTAATTCTTGGTGAGCAGGTAGATTTTGAGAGAAAGTAGTAACCATACGATATCAACTGTAGCCTAATTTTCGAAATTTCATTGAAATAAGTTGAAGATAAGTGATTGACTTCTAGCCAGAAACACGTGTCTGCAACCTACATACTGCATACACGTGTTTCTGATTCATTGGCCTCATCAGTGCTGCAAACATGGGAAACACTCAGTTGCAGAACAGAATACAAATGTATGGAGTCATGAAGTACGTGTTGCTCATCCTTGCACTAACTACTCCGTACTGATGAGGCCAAAGAACCAGCTACACGTGACAGTGATTTTTTATTTTTTCATTTTGATTTGTGTCAAGAGGAATTTTCATATGATTTCTCATTGATAATATCTATGAGTGATATTGATTCATAGATACCACGCTTCCTAGACAATGATATAACCTACCCAAAACATGGGATATAAGTAGTTGATTTATGCCGATTTCACAACCTGCCCCCACTACTTTTAACCTTGAACTGACCTCTCAATACGTCACACAAAGTGAGCCAAGGTGACTTTGAGGAGGTGTTTCGAGTTTGACGTTGAACTATCTTGACCCTCGACACACGACGCAAGCAAGGTGACTTTGAGGTATTGTTTTAGGTTTGACCTTGAATGACCCTCATTTACTCCCTATATTTTCGAATAAACTAAGCCAGTTACGCGGATTTCTTGGAGTTTTAAACCTACACGACACAACGTAGCCAAGGTCATTTTGAACGATTGTTTTGAGTTCGAAATTGAACGACTTTGATCTACGTCACAAGACGCAGACAAGGTGACTTTCTGTTAGTGTTTTGGGTTTGTCCTTTAATGACTTTGAACGACCTCCAGCTGCATAGACGAAGTGGATATTGGAGTGCGTTTTTAGTTCGACTTCAAGTGACCTTCCACAATATCATATGCCTTTGCTAAAGTGAGTTTGAGGGCGCTCATGTCATCTTACCCTTCCTCACTTTTTGAATGAACATACAAAAGAGGGGCCACTCTCTCACAGAAGTCAGTTCGATACATAATGTATGTGGCTTGGGAAAAATACATTATACGGTCAGTCCTAACTGTGACGAGGTCATAACCCAACTCACTGAAAATTTTTCACTGAAACTGAATTTCTATATAGGAAATAATCGAGTATCAGTCGATACTGAAATGAAAAAAACATATAAAGCTATTATTGAACTGATGATTTCCATGATCGAAAAGAATGGATAATTTGAGAATGAGAATATTGTCGAACAAAAAGAGAGGAGATGGAAGATTTGATTGAGTTCAGTTTTTCTAGATAGAAACACCGATGTAGTGGATATTCTAAAATCCATTTCTAAAAAATTCACTCTTTGGAATTAGAGGACTTCAGAATATTGTAATGTAGAAGAACAAAAATTCCTACGAAAGTTAAGAAAACTTGTACATTCCTCATAACTCAAAATGGCTCATGTTCATGTTTTAAATTCAACTCTTAGTACCATCCTTGATTTCATATTATTTTGTTCAAGAACAATTTACACATACCTATTACATTTTTCACCTTTTGGAGGTAACATACCCTATACACATAGATGAAATCAATCAGTGTTATTGAGCTTTCAGAAATAAAGCAATATGTATGTTTCAAATGGAGCATGAGTTCGTTGTTTATTCCACTTCAGTAGTGACTGTATTCAATACAAACTCCGCAGTAAACATGTGAATGAATGACAAAGAACAACTGAGTGTCATGTTCATTCAGAAATAATAGCTCACCCATCTATGGCGTAGCCATAGATGGGAAATTTAAATCTCTCTCCTTGTTGAGTTTGATGAAAAGTTGCATAGTTGAAGTCGTCTGTGGATTTTTATACTTCCCAGACATAATAGCACGTCTAGTTCAATGATGATCACTTATCTAATAAGTGAACACACAGACGCATATTATATGGCATATTCTCAAATATGTATGTTATCGAGAGAAAAAGGTGTTTGTACTTCTCCATATACGTCATCCTTTCAAATTCGTCATCAGTACGTCGCTGACTTCAATAATTTTCCAGCTGGTAATGTAATTTGGATAACTCTTTATATTTTTCAGAACAGTCATCAGATGAGAATCTTGACATATTCGAGAATTCTACTCCTCTCGGAGATATTGCATCCACTTCAGACTACCTTATTCCAAACGATATAACAGTAGAACCGGAATCGGAACAAGTGGATTTTATATTTTTTCCTAATGAAAACGCCAATATTGAACTACTAGACGATGTGGAAGATTCCAATGAAGAAACAAACACGGAACTTGCGGAAGTCGATCCCAAGCCACAAGAAATGTATTACATCCTACATCCGAATGGTCTGTTACGAAAAGTTGTTTATATCAGGAATAACAAAGATGAAATTGGCCAACTGCAGTTTGGAAATCCTGTACCAATAATTGAACCGGTATTCACTTATGACCCTAGTACGTTCGTGTTCCAGAGACTTCAGTTGTTTTCCGGATGAATATGTGAAATGTGTATGTTTCTGTTACTCAATTTTTTTTTTAGTTTTGTAATGAATAAAAACTTAAAACTGAATAAAGCACATTTTTTATTGAACAGTTTAGTACTTTTCACGTTGCATGTTAGTGTGGATGTAGCTGCTGATTGTTGTCATTTCTGCAACTCGATTAAGGTTATTTTATGCTTCATTTCTTGGATTTTCATTGTTTGTGCATGTATTTGGATTGACTATCAGAATAAATTATGAAATGATTCTGGTTTATTTTAGCCAAATATGGTGATAATGTGAGGTTTCAACTCTATTATTCAAGTATGGTTATAGTGTATATGAATTCATAATATTTATTTCAATTCTGACAAAAATCATGAAATATTTTTCCAAACTAAACAAAAAATCAGCGTTTTTCGAATGGGAAATATTCAACTGACAATAATATGTTTAGCAGTAATATATTCATTGACATAAATACTAAATACAGTATTCAATCAAACTTTTGCAAACTAAATTGTCTTTTTTAACATGTTCAACATTTTATGAGGCACAAAATTGAGGATAACATTTTTTTACTCATAAATATTTGTTTATAATATTCTGCCACGATATTGAACATTCTGTACAAATTGAAATGGTTATATTTTTAGAAGTGATTAATTTTAAGGAAATATTGTATTTACAAAATGGCACATAATAATCTTTTTTTGTGTCATGTGTTGAAATGTCATTCACTTGTTTCAATTCATTTTTGTTTTCAAATATATGTTAACACATTTTTAAAAGTTAAAGAGATGACAGATGTAACAATACATTCTACATTTTTCAAAAATATCAACTGAAACATCCTAAACATATAAAATATTTCAAACAATCAATTCAAAATGATGTCCAGTTATTCGCATTTTTTGAGAATTTTTTCAGGTAATGTTAGTTTTCTTTAACATTAACTAAAAATGGATGATTCAACGAAGAAGTACCACTATCATTTATAATAAAATCAATTCTCGAAACATGAGCAATATGAGCATTTCCGTATAAAAATATGGTATTTTTTAGGTTGAACATCAAAATAAAATATAATATTGAATAATTGTGTTAAAAAAAGATTATTTTAATCACAAAGAGGTTAGTTTCCATCAAATGTCTTGATTTTCGTAGTAGAAAATATTCAAAATCGAAAGATCTGCTTTTTTCGAAATATTTTTATATGTGGGAAATGGTTAATGAAAAAGTTGAAAATTTTAATTTTTCATCAGCTTTTATATTGAAATTGTATCAGTGGGCGTATAATTCCAATGGAAAAACAATTTTCCACGCTTAAATTACACTCCATTTCATCCCCCGTATGTACGTTGTAATAATATGTATTACCCTAACTGATAATGTTTATGTTGTTATTGATTTTTCCTCAAATTTGCCCCTCTACTCTCTAACGGGCCTCTGCAGTAGTCTTTACATTTCACTTTATAATTTTACTATTCAGTCATTATATTCAGTAGATAAAAAGGACTGAAATCGACATTCTGATTCATTATTCGAATACTCTCGAGTGACAACGACAATAAATCTCTACACTTGGACAGTTTCCAATCACGATAGTCTATCAATTGAGAAATCGACACGGTCCGTAGCAAAACTGTTTTTATTCAACGGTTAATCACAAGAGTGCTCATAATGGGGAAAAACAATCTATCGCCGAATTCGATCGTATCCATTTTCTTCAGGAGTTTATCCAGGTAATCGAAAGATTGCCACTCTACTGAATGTCACAGTATGTGAATCGAGTTTCTACTACCCAAAAGTTTACTACAATCGGCTGATTTTAACTTTTAGAATATTTCTCGAAGGAATTTGGGGTTACTCCGTAGAATTTATATCCAATTTCAGTTGGAATACATAATTTTTAGAAGTGAATTTGACCTACTGATCTATCATCTTCAGTATTGGACAAACCAAATCTCTGAATACCTGGTGAGTTTTTTGAAAACGAAGCATATCCCACATAAAGTGGGATATGCAGCACTACATCTTCAGATGATGTGGAGCTGCAGGTTTTTTTGGGTTTTCCTCAGCTGAAAAAGCAAATGCGCCACTGGAATCAATGAAGTTTCCCTGGAGCGCCAATTGATTTTTGTTGTTGTTTTATAATTTCATGATATGTATTTCATTCATGTAGAATGTTATTTTTTGCTACAAGTTTTTTTTCCTGTATTGTCTATACTCATTCAACTGAGGAAGAAGATCTCTTCCAAACCTACATATATATAATCCTCGTTATTACTCCACAGTATTCTTCACTCTTTGTGTTCGATGCTAAATTCAACGTATGCTTCATTTCCTAATCTTTGGATTCCTCTCCTAATTTCACTATTTCATCTCTTTGTCTTCTTCTGTTTCTTTTCTTCTTTTTGCAGATGCATCTGTTTTGATCAACTTCGCAGCAGCATATGTATCTACTCGTATTACAACTGATCAATAAATAGAGAATTGCGATGACAAAAAGGATATCGTGGACACAGATTTATCTGATGTATCTGTTATTAGATTTATTCCTACAGAATATTCATGACTTGTTATTATACATACTAACATCTGTTTTCGCTATGAAATTTTGATGGTGAACCAAACCATAGTCAGTAACGCCCACATTGAAATGGTGAATCCGCTGTCTGGAAAAGAAAATCCGGATTTTTTGATTACCTATTTGTTATTATTGTTTTCAGTTTTCATACAATGAGTTTTGTGTTATTCGTTATTTGTATTCTCAGTTGCATTTCAACATACTTGCCAACTTGCATCTTCATATATTGTTCTGGTAAAAACATAAATATCATTTTACGAGATGTTCATACCTCATCCCATACGAGGAAAATGGATCCAGTCGGTAAAGTCGAAAAATTGAATAAATAAACATGCTCTTTCGTATCACGAATAAAACTACGGAGAAAGTCCTTTGGGTTTACTTTTCTTCTAACAGGACTCTCAGGAAATCAGCTTTGTATGAATAAGAGATTCTTTTCGTCTGTTCATCCCGGTAGTATAAAAAATAAGATGATAACCATTATCAATATTATTACAATCACTGCATTTATTATGGATCAAAGAGCCCCGCTATTTCATCTGTCTTCGTGTCCGTCTGAAAATCATGAAGTTACGAACTACCGAACGGATTCTCATGAGGTTTTAATCAATGGACGGAGTGATTCGAGAGAGAGGTTAATTAATGAATTGGTGGAATATGTTTGGAAATGCTGCCTAATACCTTCGAAATATCAGAAATCGATTCATCACATATTGTCCTCCTTTCATAGATCTACAGTTGATTTGGATATACAAGGATTTTCAATTAGGATTACTCTCGACTTGATATGATTGAGGAAGAACTGGTTTGCAATGTGATGTGAAGTCATCAGCAATATCTGTAGGTAGATTCTGAGCTGTGGATTGTATAGCAGTAAAGAATATTACTGGAGTTCTTCCCCAACACCAAACAGCTATTTTCAACACCTTGAGACGTGTTTCAATCACCAAGAGGAATATTGAACTCTTTAATCTTCCTCTTGAAGATCATCACTTGGTGATTGAAACACGTGTCGAATTGTTAAAAATTACGATTCGGTGTTGGAATAGAACTGGTAATATTCATTACTACACTAAAAGGGTTCAAACAGTGCATCACAAGTCTATAGAAGTGGTTGGATTCGAAAGGTTTCTGGAGCAACTGCAGAATTGATTACTCCTTTTGCTGATGCGAGTTTGTCGTTCACATTCAATTCTTCAGATAACACTTGCATTCGTAACTAACGTTACTGCAGTTTCAATAAACTGTTAACATTGTTAACCCTTATGTATTTTTACATCAATGTAGGTGGTAGGTTAGGGTAGGTTGGGTTAGATCCATAGTGAGTGGATCTATTCGACGTTCTACCGCAACCCGTAAGGGTTTATCATGACTCACACCTATTCACACTCGACCAAAAAAAAAACCAGCTTCTCAACGAAGCCGATTTGTTTGTATGGTGAGTGATCTTTCAGGTTAGATGGTAAGAGTACGGCTCTGGGCAGGCATAAAGTATGTGCTCTGCTGATTCATCGTTTTTCAAACAGATGCGACACACACTGTCTTCCGACAGTCCGAGTCTCTGCATATGATGATTCAAATGACACTGATCTGTAAGGAGAGGCTTGTTAGACATTGTAGTTCATCCCTACTATAGTCCAATAACTGTTTGGTATGGAACTTCGAAAGGTGAATAAACATCTTGAAGTGAGCCAATCCTGGAAGAATCTGCCAGATGTCCATGAATCTTCTTGCCATCCAGGTGTTCAATCTTTGTTTGGCAAAGCCAAAGCGATGCCAATGACAGGTTCTGGTCCGATGAAGCTGCTTGCAGCACCCTCCTTTGCAAAGGAGTCAGTAGCCTTGATGCCTTCCAGACCAGTATGGCCAGGAATCCAGACCAGAGACAATCTGTTAAGTCATTTTATGAAGAAGAGTCGTTTTGGCAATCTGCTACCAATTTAGACGTTGCTCGGTATGAGCCAAGAGCTTCCAACTCCACTTGACTGTCCGAGAATATTTTTATTGACTTGTGTATGAGGTTGGATTCTTTCAATCTCTCCGCACATAATTCAATAGCATAAATTTCCGCTTGAGATATAGTTGCATAGGTTCCTATCTCTGTCCTGGGTCTGCGACTGAAAACACCTGCACCAGAACCGGGAGTTTTTGATCCATCTGTGAACCAACAACTATCTGCTCTTAATATTTCCTTCTTCCGCAGGATCCAGCCCTCCCTACTCGGTAACAGTACTTTATAAGGCAGTTCGTAGTTGACAGTTGAAGACATGAATTCAGAGGTCATTTCCAAAATGATGTGACTTCCAGTGTCAACCAACAGTCTGTTGCACTCTGAATTAAATTGATTTGTACATTCGGCAATGTGCACACGTCTATATGCAGTCCATCTAGCCACTCTCTCCAGAAAAATGTGGAGTGAAAATAGATCTAGAATGATCTCCATGGCCGCTGACGGTGTGGTACTGATGGCACCACTGATGGCCAGACAAG